AACCCTCTCTGCTTTGTAATGTTTTCCTTTCTCTGGCTTGTGTTTCAAAGGACACACCTATCTGGCTCCTGGACAATCCAAGGGCAGCCACATCCTGCTTTTCCAGTTCTTCTGCCTCATGGGTACTCCAAGACAGAGGCCTCAAAGCAGCTCCAGGACTTCTCAGGAACAGGCCCAAGCTTTAACCAAACAACCCATTTTGAGCACCCTGACTTTGCAATTGTCATATACCTTAGTTCATAGACAAGAACTTTGTTGATGGCAGTAATTTTTCCTGGGCATACTTAAAAATTTTTTTTTCTTAAAATTTTAATGATGCAAAAAAAATCCCAGATTTACTACCTTGGCTAATAAATCTGTTGTTAGCCAGGGTGTCCAAAGAATGATTCAAAATAAGCAAAGTAAAGCCCCGCTAAAGAAACAGAGCTAGTAAGTGCCAGAAATATCATTTGAAACTGACTCTCAGAAACAAACTCTTAACTCCTAAAACTATATGAAGTTTCAGGGTTAAAAGTTACACATGTCTTTTTTGGAAAATATTTACAAAAAAAAAAAAAAAATCTGAGTCCACTGTCCTGTGTTAGTAAATTAAAAACCAACTTTTTAAACACTAAAAAGTTAGTGTTGTTCCACAGTATTGTTATTTTTCTCATAGAATAGCAGAGTTTCAGGGATGAAAGTGACCTGGAAAAGTTTAGCTCTTTCATGCTACTGCCTCACTGCACAGAGGAGGGTTCTTTGCAGCCATTGCTATGGGTGTTGCCCACTTATCAGAAGTAAAATCTGACCCAGCTGAGCTGCAAATACAATATTCTCCCAGAATTATTTAGTGTGGACAGCAGGGCAATTGTCATAGAACAAGATGACAATTAAGGCAGTACTCTAGCCCAGAATAAAAGTTCTATATGCTCCTATTATGTTCTCAAGAGCCATCCTAGATTCTGTCCTTCCAAACACATAGACTGTGAAAGCAACTCCAGTGTATTTTCAATAAATCTTCTGTTTATTTGTCTGTCTTTCTGCTTTTACTTAGCCAAATAAATTTACATGCAAAGAACCTTTAATAATGGAAGTGGATAGACTATAGGAGACACCTACTGAATATGGGGAAAAAGTATGTTTTTTTTCTACACTAAATTCAGACAACCCATGCTCTTCATTTTCTAGGGATTATGGCAATTTTAAATGTTATATCTCTCTGAACCAAATTACATAAGATGTCTATAATATTCAGTATCTGGTACACAGCCTGCTCACCCCCCCCACCCACCCATCAAATGTGGCTGCAAAATGTCTTTTCAGGTTTTCAGTCACTAATTTGTGCCTGGGTAATGCATTAGCTAATGGGCTGTGTATTTTGTGAGAAACAAACCCAACTAGAGCTTTGCTGCCTTTATCTTCATATGTCTGGTACATGTTTTGAATTTACTCCTTCATATTAAGAAGGGTGTTGCATTGGGGTTTCACGAGAGACAGACAGCGTCACCATAGGTGCAGTCTCGCACCTGGAATTATTATAGTGAAAGAGAGAGACTACCTCTCTGGTGGAAGTAGC